ACATCAAGAGGATAAAAGAACACTTATTGTGGTGTTATTTATGGAGGCAAAATCCTAGACACAACCTGATATCCATCAATGGGAAGAAGTTTGAATAAATTACGCTAAAGCCATATCAAAAGGTATTATGGAGCTATTAAAAATGTTTCACTCTGTATTCACCTAGGAAGATGCCTAGTTACATACAAAACTGCAGAATAATATATATGATACCATTTTTGTAAAGAGAAAATCAAAGTTCAATGAATATGAACATGGATGGTTGATGCATCATAAAAAGGTGCAGAGAAAGTCTAGAAGCATAACCAAAATGTTCCCATTGGCTAAGCCAGGAGATGGAACTGAGGGTTAGAGAAGGAAAACGGGAGAGTAGTTAGCTTTTCCTTTGTGATTTCAAGGTAAACCATGTGTGGCTTCAGAAGTTCACAGAGTAAAGCCCAAGGGAGCAAAAAAGATCCCATGTAGAATGAACTCTCCTTATTTTGAAGTTACAGACATCAAGACCTACTCCACTTTATATAGGCCATAATCCTGGTTACTCCAACTTTCTGCTCATCTAAAATGTTAGTGGCTGATCATAAAACCTAACTATATCTAGAATAGTTATCCAGATTGTCACTAACATACAACACGATTTTTTTTTGGAAACTTTAAATCAGATTGAGAAAATATGCTAAAAAATTCCACAAATTATTCAAAACAAATACCTACCTTTTTTCTTCAGAAGAGTTCATATTTTCTCCATAAAGTAGTAAGATAAGTCCTTCTTCCACAGATGCAATTCTTGCCAAGATATCAGCTATATGAATTAAAGCTGTTTCAGAGCAATATGGAACAGCCTGTACATTAAAGATATCATATAATTTTATGACATGCTAACATATCACAGACTAAATTCAAAGGCATGTAATAAAATGTAATAAAGTTATATTAGCACAACAAAAAAGAAAGTTAATGATTGTTTGGCTGTGCAATAATACGTCTGAATTAAATGTGTCATTAGCTTATATTCTCATACCAGCACAGCTGATAAGGATAATACATACACACTTTTTACCCAAACCAGTTACTGTTTATTAGGACAGTCAAGAGAATTGCTGCTACTGTTTTATATGTATATAATTCTGCAATAGTTCTCCTTTGCCCTTTACTTCTCACTCACTGGGTTCCTGTATAACCAATCTAATTTTATTACACATGGTATCTAACATACTACCTTCCTTTGTAAGGGATATCATCCCGTCCTAGACCTCACTGGGTCATGAGTTGTAGGTGTGACTAAGGACAGCTAATTCATGGGCTGGACAATAGCCAATGATGCCATCTAATAAAACATAGTCTGGACCAATCATATTTCCTCACTCTTGATTTTTAAAAGTACTAAAAATTCTTTATCAGTATACAGCAAATTAGTACAAAGCAAATACTAAAAACCGAAGTGTCATGCTCATATTGGAGCCCATCTAGAAAAAAGCTCCTGTTCTTTCTAGGGCCTACGTACATACCCGTACCTACATGCATGCACATTTTCTCTACAATAATTTTGAATGTCTATACATTGCAACCAGTGCATTCTCAGAAATTCAATGGATTAGCTTAACTAATGAGGAATCAGGTACACTCACCTGAAGAATTCCTAATTAGACAACTTAATGTCTAATGTATTACTTTTACACTAAATATCTTTCTTAAAAGAACTTCTCTGCTTAGAGTACTTTCCTTCTCTCATACACATTTTTTTAAACTCAGTTTCTTATTTTCAATATTTTATTTGTTTAATAGTCTATCTTTCCAAATAGAGTAGGCTCCTTAAAAAGCAATGAACATGTCTTAGTCACTTCTATATTTCAACTACTCAGCCAGAACAAATGATGTAGCAATGGCTCAGTGCCTCAGCAAGGTGCTTCGTTCAGCCTCAGTTGTTAAGGATTAAATTATATAATGTAAGGGAATATATTGTACAAACTGTAAAGAGAGATATGTATGTTTAGAACCGGGATATTTATAAGTTTTTCTAAATACTAGTTCTTCATATAAAACAGAGCTGGCTCTGCAGGAAAGTATTTCCAAAGGCTATACAGTTGCCATTAAAACAAACAACAAAACATTCATAAGACTTATTGCATTTGCAAGACAAATACCTTCTTTTTTTTTTTTTGCCAAATAGGTTCTTAATAACATCAGTCCTTATAATCAGATCTAAGCCCAACCAGAAAAAATTTATGATATTATATGTACTTTTCCCCCACACTGTCATAACTAAGAATAACTGACTGTATAAACTAAGGCTTAATAATAAATACGAATCTTTGTCAGCATAAAATACATTTATATGGAAAATGGTATAATACTTCAAACATCAAATTTAGAAATAAAGTCCCATTGAATATTCACTAATACCCAATTAAGAGATTCTATTACCAACCTTAGTTCCTTTCATTAAGTTATGGATAGGCTGAAGAAGCGCCTCAATCACAGTGTTGTTATACAAGCACTCAATTGCACATTCTTTTTGATCACAGAGTATACGCAGAACTTCAGTTACCATACTTGCAGGAGAATAATTCTCTGATAAGAAGGAAGTATTTTTTAAAAATTAAAACTGAAGACATTGCTTAATGTATCTTTTGTTTCTGTATCAGCTATTGCTGTTCCAAAAACCTCATCAAGGATAACTAAAAGTTTAAAACTCACACAACTCAATGCCCAAAGGATGATGTATTACCAAATTATAACCTGAAACTTAAGGTATCTTTAAGTTAATAAAGAGTAAATGACAATAAATATAAATACCAAAAGACAGCATAAGATCATTTGCTATTTGACATTAAAGCACTGCTTGATTGATTGACACAACATTGTAAACTGACTATACTTCAATTAAAAAAAAAAAAAAGCCCTGCTTGACAGTGAAGATGTGGTTTGAAGTAAATTCACAACTTCTCCTCTCCTACTAAGATAAGTTGTGGATTTGCCTCAAACAATTTACTTATTAAATTCACTTTTCTTCTTTTTATTAAGAAAGTGTATTTAGGTGTTAAGCCTGGTAGAAAATTAAAGTCATTAAGACAAAACTAAAGCCAAAATAGAAGGCAGAGGGGAAAGTTTCATGGAGACTAGTACACTTCTTGTGTTACCATAAAACCAATGAAATGAATGAGCATTTTTAAGACTTTGTTTTAAAATACATACAGGAAAACAAAAATACAAATAAACACAACATTGGGAACAGTCCCTAAAATAAATGTGGCATTTTTAGTTTCATAAATTAACATTTTCAGATTTTTGACC